CCAAAACGTAAAAATACGTATTAAAGTTTAAAGATTTACCGTCAATTCAAGTCACTATAAAGAATGAACTAATCGGTTACCTTTCGATTCTGTCGGATATCGCATTCCTCGGAAAAAATTTCCAAATTACCACGGAGTTGTACTTAAGTCATTTCAAAATCAGGCGGAATAACCGAAGCGATAATTTTGACTGCAATCAAAACACTGCAGCAACGCCGCTGGAATAATAAATCCAACGAGAATCACAACAGATGTCGCAGCTTATCTGTGCAAGATCTGGGAGGGCCGACGGAACGAAACCCAATGAAAGAATAAAATGCAGATTTTGTTTATGGCTTAATGATTGCTAAGTCGACGTGAAACAGCAAGTATTAGGTTAAACAAAAAAAGGTCACTTTTGAATCCTGCTGTATAGCAATTAATTCATGCCTTGACCAGCCAATAATGAAAGCTGTGTTCAAAAAAAAAAATCGACCAAATTGTTATTCATCTGCTTGTTAAGAATAACTTGGTCAGAAGAGAAATTTACCCAGAAAGATAAACCATTGAAATATCGCCAGATTACCTGTAAGAAACATTGTCAAGTAAGTTTGTGAAATTTATGAAACAACACTGAAATCGCTTCAACTTCTCATGAATTAAACTCTTGACTCCTCAAGTGCGATCAGACATATCATTTCTCTTTGTAATATTTATCCATGTTTAGTGAAGCAGACAGGTGATTACAATCAGTACAAATAAATTCTCATATCTAAGACCACAAGAAATGTGTAGAGATAACGGGAGAGAATTGATGGTTCAATCTTGGGCTTAAAAGAGTTAAGGAACAAAATCACAGCAGGGTAAAATAAACACTAACCAAAAAAATACGAATTTTATCGACCACTTTCACAAAACCTTGGAAAAATCAGAGCAGAAATATCAATTTCAGATCAAAATTCATAGTTATCAAAAGGATAAAACAATGAATTCACAAAAAGCAATCGAGTGTTACTGAAGAGAACTGTGTTGTTTTTGTTCAGATTTTCTCTTGATATCCCGGAAATACAAAAAGAGGGTCAACGAAAACTAAGATTACACGTTGGGGATCTTCCCGGATGTCCTCAAGTTTGACAGTGAGACAAGAAGAGACAATTGTTTTCAAGGCACGGCGAGGTGACTATCCCCATTCAATAAATATGCTAGAATTCAGGATTTCGTTCGACGCAATCACGCGATCCTGCCATTATAACAAGCTGCCAAAATTACACTACTTGTGAGCTTGTTTACAGGTCATTGCAAGCCATCAAATCCACCCTTTTGTGCTTCCATGTTTATCAAGACAAATAACAACTATATGACTTTCTTGTGATTTTCGTCGCTTAAAAAAAAAACGTTTCGAGTCTACTAACCTGAATAAAAGCTCAAAATTCCTGTTTAAGTCAACGTTCAATTATTTGGAACTAAACTTTGACAACAATCAATGCACAGAAATTAAAGAAACTAAATCGCTCGAAAACGATTTCATCAACCTTTGTCCTGCAACAAGACTGGATTTTCCCTAAATATACTAACAAATAATTACCAGAAAATTCCCACGAAAACCA